GAATATTGGTTAAGTACGTATTTCATTAGAAAAATGGTATTCGCCTGCGGGATTCGAATACCGGTGCATCGCTAGATACGAATGCACCGGACGTCTTATCCTTTAGGCCACGGCGACTACTTCAACCAAAGAGAAATTGTTTTAGGCTCTGCAAGCAGCGGTCACCGGCCACGTCGATCACGACGTTGTTGACGAGCGAACTAACCCATAGACACAACCCACTGAATTTCTTGCCGGATCTTCTCAGTGGGTCGCGATTCCGGTCCGGCGGTAGATTTAGCGAAACATTGTTCTTTCTGGGGCGAGTGTTAGCAAATTCTCTCAGGTGGTGCCCGTGAGCTCAACTACCTGTTCACAAGAAGCTGGGATAGTCCCTTAGAATAGCAGCGAATAGGCACGGAAAAAAAAGTATTGTTGTTAACTTCCTAAACCATTATCCATTAAAGTGTTCAAAGTTACACAAACCTACTGTGCTCTTTAAAAAAATAACTCTCTCGGTTGTATGAAACATTTACACTATTTTAAAACCCTACCATGTTTTGAAATTTTTGATATGACTCCCGCCAAATATGAAAAAACGACATATGAGTCGTCTATTATCAAAGGTGGCAATCTGTGCATTTGGACAAAAAATTTTTATTGATATGTCAATACAGATTGATTTGAATATAATCGTCTCCTTCAAAGAATACGGTTCAAAACCTGCATTAAATAAAGGTTAATACTTAATCTGTTATTTATCTAAGATGTCGTTCAGAAGAGTTTTGTGACTGCCAATGGAATACAAAGTCAATAATTCGTTTTTCTGATTTACCAATAATTGTCCAAAAGTCACATTGCCGNAATATAATCGTCTCCTTCAAAGAATACGGTTCAAAACCTGCATTAAATAAAGGTTAATACTTAATCTGTTATTTATCTAAGATGTCGTTCAGAAGAGTTTTGTGACTGCCAATGGAATACAAAGTCAATAATTCGTTTTTCTGATTTACCAATAATTGTCCAAAAGTCACATTGCCGGCTTTGATAATAGTCGACTCATATCATAAAAATAAAAAAAAAACATGAATTCGGCCATTAAGCGTTATCTATGGCGGGGACCATGGAGGGTCGAGTTATCTCGTAATATTTTTGAATTGTATTTTTTCACCATTACGTATATGCACAAGGATATAATGACATAAAGCCAGATAAAAAGATGTCTGTTAATGATAAAAGTAATTACTCAGGTAATTACGATAAAGAGAATGGCAAATAAAATTAACAGTCAATAATAAAACAACATTTCGTTGCTACGTTAAATGGAAAACAACTTTTTTCTAAAACGTATTTAAACGTTTTTAAAGCGTTTTCAAGATGATAATGATAGTTGTATGTTGTCTTCTGATATACGAACAAAAATACTATAAATTTGTTGAATATTTGAATCCAAACTGCTATTCTTATATGGATATTACACATGTGTACATACAGTTTGCTAATTTGGCAAACCGAAACATCAAACAACCTATTCTTTCTTATTACCTACAAAAGCTTCTAAATTATTATAACGTATAGCAAAACCGCCTTTGTGCCGTACGCGATTATGACTATTTAAGATCGGCGTGGGTGATCTGTGAAATGGAGTTACGACGTTCTGCACGGGAAATGCGTGTGTGTTATTAGCCAGGGAGTGTGGGCTTGGCTACATAAATTCATTTGTGATATGGAACTTTGATTTAATTGACCTATCGGTCAGAGTTCGACGTTGCTAGGCAACTCATTATATTTTTACAAGCTTCAAGAGATCGAGACCCGGGTTCTGAGAATACTCGTAGTAGGGAATTTAGTCAGAATTCACTGGTATTGTCGTTTGCATGCAATTAATAATAAGCCTTCCGATGTTCTAAATTGGGCAGCTTTTAGCAAATCCAGAGCCCGCGCTCGTCTGCCTATCCTGTTGAAATTGGAAAGGCCTCCGAGGTTACTAGTGCACGTTCCTTCCAAAAAATAGATGTCCTAAATTGCTGGTCCATTTGTTGGTAAAACTAATTAAATAGATAGTCAATAGATTTAGGGATAAGAAATTTACCAACGATGTATATATTTTCACTTAATATATAAATACATTTTTTTGTTCTAGGTTCTCAGTGGCTGTGTTTCCTGCATACATTTTGGTAAGAAAGTCTAACTATCGCAATCGGGTAATGTTCGTCCATTTATCAGTATTATCTTAATCACGATACTCCATATCATAATTCGATAACAATAACATGCCACGACGATAAAAAGCCAATATATTTGTTTTAGACGCCACGTGTAAATCTGATTACTTAATTACAGGTGGCAGGACGTATTTTAAACTTTAAAAAAATCTAAGGGATAGTTTATTCAGAGCGCTCGCTCGGTGCACATGTCTTCTCAACGGGTCGCCATTCCGATCAGGTGGTAGATTCTCCGAACCACTGCTCTTGCTAGGGCTAGTGTTGGCAAATTCTCTCAGGTTGAGCCCGTGAGCTCACCTACGCGTCCGCGCGTACCTGGGATAGCCTCTAGGCTACCAGCGAATAGGTAAGAAAAAAAGGGCACATGTCGAATATCATTCTGTAAGGTTTATTGTAAAATAATTAAAATAAAATTTACCATGTTCATATTTTAGACAATTTTTGGATTGCCAAATAGTTACACTGTCTGTGGGAGCAATGGCAGTAGTGTTGATGTGACATAATAAAAAAGGCGGTAGTCTGAAAAAACGGCAGAAAAAACGGTGTATTCTATAGTGAGCACATATCTAAAGATCATAGATTATACACTTAATATAGCTAAAGATTGTACAAGTGAAGTTACAAATAAAATAGTACAGAATTAAGCGAACTATTGCAATCTGTGTATTTATTTCCTGGCTTTGGAAGCTAAGTCTTCAATGTTTTCTGTGTGCGTGTGAAATTCTATCTGTTAGACCTCTCCGCTGATATATACTTTTGGCCGTTTTGATTGAGGCATGCTTTTTCAGCTTCGAAACCGCGTTAGATGTTCGCGTTAATAAATTTCATTAAATCATAATGTGTACGACATATACATACGTCTGTATTGACAAAAAATGCTCCTTAAGCCATGTCGTTACAGCTCATTTTTCTCTAACAGCTTATACTGTACACTGTTAAGCACTGTCACTTTAGGCTTCGGCGCCGGTGTAACAGCAAAGATATTACCCCGTTTTACTACAAACATCGTATCTCACTAAAGCACTTTACAGAAATTTTAATTAAATGCCTACGTGCTATGTGAGGTTGTGATCTAGGAATATCTGAGTTAATTACATCGGATATCACGAGCTTATAAGGTTTACCTTACCTTGTAGATGTTAGATTTAATAAGCATTTTTTTTTTCTGTACGTATATATTAAAACTTTTTTTTAAAGTCGTCTTGACCTCGTCCAGTACATTCGTGTGTAGTTCACCAGGCAACGGTGTTTGAATCCCGCCAGCGGGTACCAATTTTTCTAATGAAATACGTACTTAAGAAATCTTCACGATTGATTTCCACGCTGAAGGAAGAACATAGTGTAATAAAAATCAAACCCGCAAAATTATAATTTGCGTAATTACTCAAATCAAATCAAATCAAATCAAAAATTTTTTATTCAACATAAATGAAAGTACATACTTGTTGAACGTCAAAAGAACTACCGCCACTACTGGTGGTAGGACCTCTTGTGAGTCCGCGCGGGTAGGTACCACCACCCTGCCTATTTCTGCCGTGAAGCAGTAACGCGTTTCGGTTCGACGGATGGGGCAGCCGTTGTACTTTAAAAACTGAGACACTAGTACTCATATGTATCATACTCATATGAACTCATGTATTTTCTACATGGATACCAAGTTTCAAGTCAATCGGATGCATGGTTCTGTAGTTATAACGGAACATCCGTAAAAACCACTGTAGATTTATATATTAGTATAGATATTAATATAATGGGGGGTTGGTGCTTCCCGCTTCCGTAGGTTTAACCCGCGATTCCCTACAAGTGACCCCTGGGTGGTGCTAAACGGGAGCCGAAAACATAACCGGTGGTAGGACCTAGTCCGACTGGCTGGCGACCACCCTCCAACTAGAGTCCGCCGCCAAATAGCCTAGCTGTGTTCCGGCGTGTGGGTTGGAGAGCCAGTTCTATCCCTTCCCTNGCATCTCGTTTTTACCATCGCACCGCCCGCCACCGGAGTAGAGTTCATCCATACTACCTGGAGCCACTGCGGTCATCCACAGTGCGTTTCCAGAGATCTTTTTTGCCACGTACCATCCGGCTATGGAATGAGCTCCCCTCCACGGTGTTTCCCGAGCGCTATGACATGTCCTTCTTCAAACGAGGCTTATTGAGAGTATTAAGCGGTAGGCAGCGGCTTGGCTCTGCCCCTGGCATTGCTGAAGTCCATGGGCGACGGTAACCACTCACCATCAGGTGGGCCGTATGCCCGTCTGCCTACAAAGGCAATAAAAAAAAAAAAAAAAATAATATAAACACAATCACCTGACCTGAAACTGGTATTCCCTGTATTATGCGAATCAGAGACCTATATATATTAAATACGTTCTTTTTATTTCCCAGACGGTTTCCTAGCCCATAGACATTTACAACGCAAATGCGCCACCCACCTTGAGATATAAGTTGTAAGGTCTCAGTATAGTTGCAACGGCTTTCCCACCATTTAAGCCGAAACGCATTATTGCTTCACGGTAGAAATACCCGTGCGGACTCACAAGAGGTCCTACCACCAGTAATTACGCAAATTATTATTTTGCGGGTTTGATTTTTATTACACGATGTTATTCCTTCACCGTGGAAACCGATCGTGAACATTTCTTAAGTACATATTTCATTAGAAAAATTGGTACCTACCCATCTGCCGGATTCGAACACCGGTGCATCGCTCAACACGAATGCACCGGACGACTTATCCTTTAGACCACGACGACTTCTAATTTCAGAGAATATAAAATAAAATCCAATAAATTTAATTTCTTGTGTTACATAATATTTATTAAGTACTTTATTATAGATGTCGCATACTAGTAGAATGTTATTCAGCTATTCGCTCAGTACCTAATTATAACGGTAAAGGGTTCTGTAGTTTAAATTCCTTTACCCTGGATATGTGAACCTCACATCGCAGCTATGACGTTAAGGTTGTGGTGTATTTCAGTCAGCCATTTAAATAATTTCATTTCCGTATATGAGCATACGGTCCACCTGATGGTGAGTGGTTACCGTCGCCCATGGACGTCAGCAATGCCAGGGGCAGCGCCAAACCGCTGCTTACCGTTCAATATTCTCCACACGACCTTACCCCTATGACCTTAGTTTAACCGTAATTTTAATGAATGCCCAACATTAATTCAATTAGCTACCAGACAATCCAATTAGGTAAATACTGTCTGAAGATATCATCCCAAAAATCAACTTGATCGCTTTCAGGTTTTTTAGCTGCCACCAGCTCATTGCCAATGTCCAGGTAATCTTGTGCTTCGACGGAATATGTAGCCCATTTGACACCCAAGTCATCCCCAGGGGTTGGATTTCTGAAATTAGTAAAGTTATTATTGTTCTAAATTATAGGAGACACAGAAGATTTCCTTCGAAATTAATTCTCACTGAACCTTTGATGTTATTGTTAAAGTTGTTATGGAATTTGAATTAAAATAGTAGAGTAATTAGAACGTAGTAATTTCCTTGGATTTCAAGCTGTAGACATAATTAAAGTTACTTTAGGCAGCGGCTTGGCTCTGCCCCTGGCATTGCTGAAGTCCATGGGTGACGGTAACCACTCACCATCAGGTGGTCCGTATGCTCGTCTGCTTACAAGGGCAATAAAAAAAAATTTATCTGGCTTTTTTATTTTCATTGTATTACTTTCGATGTTACGAATACTTTCCATTTTTTGTCATTAGACTCGTTAGTCAGCTGTGAAGACTGTAAAAACATACTGTTGCTTTTACTCTAACGCGCTCATTTCCCAAATGGTAGCATCAAGTTTAATAGTGTCCGAAGTGGTCTGCAGCAGCACAGGAATCCATGCTGGTAGCAAAACGTGCTTCAGTACGTGGAGGTCCAGGATATTGGAGTTTAAGCAGGACGTAAATATGTTTTGGCTTTCAGTGGGTTGAATATTCAACAATCATAAGGAGTGAAATCACACCGAAAATATATTTGTAAGTATAATCATAATATACTGTTACGCCGTTAAGAGTAACGCCATCTATCGTCGAATAGTCGAAGGATCTAGTAGCACCTAGAACGCTCGAGAAGTACAATGCCATCTATTGTCAGATAGCGGAAACACAATACTAGAGATGTGTGGAATATTCTCGATAATTCTAGGGATGTGGTATCGGCTACAAAAGCGTTGTGGAGAAGGCAGTAATTGGAACTACTCGAAGCTAAACAGCGAACGGATCACCTGAAGCGAAGCGGAACAAGAAATTTGAGAATTTTAAAGTGTTTGTTGAGTATTTAAGTGTTCTAAGTGCTAATACAGTTTTAGTTGTACTTTGGTGGAATTCTATTTATCCCGAACCCCAGCCCGTAATAATACTTATAAATAGGCATCATCGTCTTGGCCCTACTGCTCACGGTGGCCCTTAGCCTGGTCTAGTATGTCTCTCCAGACTACTCTGTTCAGAACTTTCTCCTTCCAGTTCCTGACACCGATAGCTTTCAGGTTGTGCTCTACGCCATCTAACCATCGGAGTTTGGGCCTGCCACGACTTCTTCAGCCCTCTGGCTTGCCATATACTAGTTACTTATAAATAGTGTGTGTGTATAAAACAGTATATTTTTATATTATTATCACTTAATACTGTTACTGGTTGGGAGGGAGTTGTGAGTGAATCAAAACCACATAACGGAATTTGCAGGCCACGCGGGCAAGAAGGGACTCGATTTTGTTGACCACATTTTAAAGTAAAGAAACTAAACAGTTTCCTAGTTTCCTTCATTGATTGGTAGTAAAATGTACTTCCCTCAAACAAGTCTAATTACTTCGAGCGAAGCATGAACGTGTTATCGCAAAAAATGAAAGAACAACCAGCTCACCCATATTTGGCAAAGTTCGTCCATAGCTTTGTTACATTGTCGATTAATTTGAAAGCAGCGGAATCTACTTTAACTTTCGGAGCCGGCACGGATGGGAAAATATAAAAAATATCGTCGCCGTGACACGTCACAGGCCTGCCTCCGAGCACGTTGTCAATTTGCAACAAGCGACTCAATACATTCCTTTCAGATTTACACGTGAACTTATATAAATATATATTGTTCTTGGATTTCGCGAGAAACTTTGCCTGAATCAAGACGTTGTAAATGAACATGTCAAAGCCTGCATATTTGACCAGACTCTCTAAATCGTCGCCAATATTCTTGTTCTTAAAATAGAATTGTTTAAATTTTCTACCGATCTCGAGCTGTTGTTTGATCGGAATGTTCAATGCGATTGGTTTTGGTACGAAATATTCGAGGTACATTTTCGCCAAATTTACGGCTTTTGTGATATCATTATCGTTTTCCAACAAAGCTATCAAGCCTTCGTCTTGATTGTATCCAATTATAACATCGACATTGTCCAATCTGTTGTTGAGGGCATCGATGATGTCGCCATAAAAGAATCTTTCATTATCACCAAATTGCTTTTCATCTGTGACAGACAAACAAATTTCACTCTCTTTTTGGGAGTGTATCACGGGCAATCCCACGTCCGCTAGTGATTCCAAGGGTTGATTCTTAAAGAATTCGTAAAGTTCCTTATCATCTTCCGAATCGAAACCCAATTTCTTGGCTAAAATTAGAGCTCTTTGACGAGGTTCGAAAGTTAGTGCCCACCAACAAGTAATTGCGCCACTTTGTATTATTGCTTTTTTGAAGAGTCCTTTTGACATCGGAGATATCAAGTGATAGCTGACACTAGTTCCTCCAGAACTTTCACCGAAAATTGTTATGTTTTCTGGATCGCCGCCGAAGTTTCCGATGTTCTTTTTGACCCAACGAAGAGCAGAGACTTGGTCTTTCATGCCAGCGTTACCTGGTATATCTTCGGTGTCCAAGCACAAGAAACCGAGGACTTCCAGTCTGTAGTTAAGCGTAACGAGAATAACCCCTTGTCTTAAAAGATATTCTGGTCCATAGAAGTCATCGTTACCACTACCGCATTTGTATGCACCTCCGTGAATCCAGACCATGACAGGAATTGGACTGTCAGGTTTGACGTTTGGGGTGTAAACGTTTAGATAAAGACAGTCTTCGCTTCCATTGGATGGTACAAGCACGTTCTTTTGAAAACAGACTGGTCCAAATTGCTTGGCATTGCGGACTCCAGGCCATGGCTTAACGGGCTGCGGGGCCTGTAATTGTGATAGAAACACATTGAGATTGAAATTCGGTATAATTCACTCGGTATATCGATCAATTTACGGAGCGGCAGACATAATTATCATTATCAATACTTTATTTTAATAAAAAAAAAATACCACAACATTTTGTTAGTAAGTAAATATAATCTGTGTTAGTAACTTAAAAACCTAACACAACTATCAGACTATGCATTACAATTTTTTCCCTCCAAGGGTCTGCTGCAAAGGCTGTTAATCAGCAGTCCCTCGATCTTGCTCGATATGATGTTCAGAAGACTGTTGCCACTGTCACGCACTGGATGCAATAACGATGCACTTCTCTTCCGCATTATTGCAAAGAAGTCATCGGTGTGAGATATCGCAAGCATGGTGGATGCACCACAAAAGCGCGGCATTGACAACATCAAATCAGAACTACTTTACTACTACTTTATGGTTTATTGTCGCATTTATTTTAGACGCTTCAAATAGTTTACAGTTAACGTGTTCACGGACAGCCAAATGGCTCTTTTCGTTTAGCTTCATAGAAGATTGTAACTATACTTGAGACCTTAGAACTTATATCTCAAGGTGGATGGCGCATTTACATTGTAGATGTCTATGGGCTCCAGTAACCAATTAACACCAGGTGTGCTGTGAGCTTGTCCACACACCTAAGCAATAAAAAAAATAAAAAAATAAAGTTGAAATACCTGAAAAAAAATCTATTTTAACGAATCTAGCTGTAGGATTGAAATGATTTTACTAGACCTACAAATATATATTTTTTGCGCATCGAATATGGTTATTGCCTATCATTCATGTATAAAGCAGTTATTGTCGCTTAGTCACGTTTGCCTTTCAAGCGTCGATATTAAATACACGTAATCGTGCACAACATAAGTGCGTTAAGTGATACAATTTCCTAATGTAAGATGCAGTCTCCAAGTTTTTTTTTATTGCCTATATGGATGAACGAACTCACAGCCCATCCGGTGTTAAGTGGTTACAGGAGCCCATAGACATCTACAACGTAAATGCGCCACCCACCTTGATATATGAGCTCTAAGGTCTCAGTATAGTTACAACGGCTGCCCCACCCTTCAATCCGAAACGCATTACTGCTTCACGGCAGAAATAGGCGGGATGGTGGTACCTACAAACAAATTACTACTTAACAAATGTTCACGATTGACTTCCACGGTGAAGGAATAACATCGTGTAATAAAAATCAAACCCGCAAAATTATAATTTGCGTAATTACTGGTGGTAGGACCTCTTGGGGGTCCGCGCGGGTAGGTTAGGTTAATAATAACCACTTAATAAAATCCAATAACCACTTAACACCAGGGGGGCTGTGAGCTCGTCCACCCATCTAAGCAATAAAAAAAAAGTATATATATAAACATTTATAACTATATTTATCACTCTCTGGTACCCATAACACTACCTGTGTTAAATTGGGGCCGGAATGACCTTGCGTGATTTGTAGCCGGTTCTTATTATTATGAGTAACGATATAATTAACAACATACATGGGTCCAAGGTAAAATATTTATAATACTGCAGGCAGATAAAAACACACCAGACGTTTGTTTTTTTGTCTGACGCAAATGAGTTACTGTAGCTGTAGGTATATAATAAACTCTTAGTTGAAAAAGTAATGATGTACTTAATAAAAGGTTTCTAGTAATATTCAAAGCGAATTTTAACTATTATTTGTCGTTTTATGCCTAAAAATTATTCAACATACTTGTGGAACGTTTTTTCTTTTTTCCTACCTATTCTGATAGTCTTGAGAGGATATTTCAGCTTCTCCTTGACGTGTAGGTGAGCTCACGGAGCCCAAACCGGGAGTGTTGCTAACACTGGCCCTAGCAAGAGCCGTGCTTCGCAGAATCTACCACCGGATCGGAAACGCGATCCATTGAGAAAATCCGGCGAGAAACTCAGTGGGCAATTTACAGTAGTAATATTTATTTTCATCAGTAAACAAGCATAGACAAATTCAAGGGACGACCGTATCGCTAAAAGCTATCTCTTCTATAAATACATTTAGAGATTGAAGTGTACTAGAGGTCCCGCAGTAGTCGAAATTCGACTATAATTAATTGGAATTGTAAGCTTGTACACTATTATTATTGTATTTTATACTTCTATAATCACAAATTTCGCCAAGAATACACTATAAAAAATATTAACAAAGACAAACAATATTTATTTAATCTATTCTCAATTTGACAGCAGACGTCAAGAACAAAAGTTTGACAATAAATAGTATGCATGCATGCGTGTGTGCGTCAAATACATGGTATGTAGTGTGTGTAATGTTTTCTTTATTGATTTAATGATCTTTTATGCATTACTTTAAAAAAATATTAGCATTGTGCACTTCTTCCCTATATTCTCTATAAGTGTGTTCATACTCCTCCGTCCGCGCAATTTTCGTAAAAAGGGATACAAAGTTTTTGCTTCACGTATTAATATATAGAAAATATTGTATTTTGGTAATTTTTAAAAATCGATTTTATGAATGTTGCTAGTGTTGACGTCATTTAGGTATAATCTGTCTATGCCACAGAAATATTAATATATTCATTAAGTGCGAATTTTCAATACTACCATGATTTCTTTGCACAAGTTTTAAGATCTCAAAGCATCAACCTTTCACTCACCTTGAACCTAAGATTTCCCACAGGCGGCTCCGCGTAAGGTATTCCCTTGAAACTGTAGAATGTTCCTCCGTATTCATTCTTAACAAGCTCTCCTTCTAACAGACCTTCGCTTACGGAAACCACAACCATTCTTGTTATCAAAAATAATACAGTGACGAACTTAATCTGACGCGGAAACGTGATGATGTATGAATATATAGACGATGACTGTTGAAATTGTATCCTAAGTGCATGCGTAATATCTACTGTATCTAATTGACTGTACCCATATGATAATGATATGATGATGTTCGGAAGATTAAAGATTTTCTGTTGTAACTGGAAAATTAATGTGTTAATTATAATTCAAATTAAATTTCGATAATACTACGCATTTTTTTTTATTGAACTTTTTTTAGTTGTACATAACATAAGCAATAATACGAAGCTAGGTACATTAGCATATTGGAATTTATGATAATTATGTAAAGTACATTTAATGTCATTTGTATCAGTCTTACTTACAAGATGTTCAGAAGCTACATATACATAGGTTTAAGAAAACTATTAAAGAACATCTGTGCAATAAAGCTTACTATAAAGTCAATGATTATCTAGAAGATTGCACAAAGTGGGAATGAGTTGCTCGCTCCGGGCTTTTCAATATTGTAATATTTTTATGTTATAATTACTTATTGTAAATATGAATATTTAAAAAAACCTATATTTAAAATAAAAATAAAAAATCTAATATTTAAAAAAAAAAAAAAACATGCCCGCTGAGTTTCTTGCCAATTCTTCTCAGGACGGAGGCTAATTCTTGTGAATTGGCGGTAGTTCTTTTGACGTTCAACAAGTATGTACTTTCATTTATGTTGAATAAAACTTTTTTGATTTGATTTGATTTGATTTGATTCATCAATCATTCAATTCGATTCAATAATTTGTGTAGTTTGATTGACTTGCTGGTACAGTAGATAGCGCCTAGGGTCGTGGGTGCGATTCCCACATCGGGTAAATTGTGTGATGAGCAAATTTATTTGCTCTTTGTTTGGGTGTTTATTATCTATATACATATGTATATATTTAAAAGTAGTATATAAGTATGTTTATCTGTCTCTGGAATTCGTAACACAGAGAATCCTAAATTAGGGTCGGATGACCGTGCGTGATTTGTTCCCAGTTATTATTCTTATTATTATTATTGAATTCGTCGGGGCCCAAATAATAAGAATTTTATTTTAAAAGGTTTACTGGTGGTAGGACCTTTTGTGAGTCCGGGCGGGTAGATACCACCACCCTGCCTATTTCTGCCGTGCAGCAGTAATGCGTTTCAATTTGAAGGGTGGAGCAGCCGTTGTCACTTTACCTTAGAACTTATATCTCAAGGTGGGTGGCGCATTTAGGTCGTAGATGTTTATGGGCTTCAGTAACCACTTAACACTAGGTGAGCTGTGAGCTCGTCCACCCATCTAAGCAACAAAAAAAAAGTTTATTTTCAATTACAAATTTACATTCTGGTTATAGTTGTGTTCGCCGGGGTTCGGGATAAATAAAACAAAATATTGGTCGGAAGCATATGAAATGTTATATACACTATAATGCATAATATAATTAACATATTTTCTGAAGATCCGCAAATAAATAATCATTTGCTAATAAAATACAGATATTTACAGTTTTAAGTTCAATATTAATAGACCCGCAATGTAGGACAAAGGTAGTTGACGGATGCTTTCCACGCACGCGAACGTTGACCCTGTACGTCAAGTCATTTCCATTTGTGTTACATCGCGCGTTTATAATAACAGCCTCATCAAATAACTTTGTTTACGGTAACGATGCCTTGACCTCGGCCACTTGTGTATATCAGATTGAATATTTTTCCTGTTTTAAAAGCTTATTGTCACAGGTGCAAACCGCAAATATGTATTGTTTATTTTCGACGTTGGCAAGCCTTATTATCAAAACCAATAATTTAAAAGAATTTATAAGGTGAGGTAATTAAAATTCATTTTAAACGAAATCTATACTAATATTATAAAGAGGAAAGATTTGTTTGTTTGTGTTGTTTCGAATAGGCTCCGAAAGTACTGGACCGATTTGAAAAATTCTTTTTCCATTAGAAGCCGACATTGTCCCTGATGAACATAGGCTACTTTTTTTATTATTATTTTTATTTTGTTTTTTTGGTTTCATGTGTGTTTTAATGTTTCCGAAGCGAAGCGAGGGCGGGTCGCTAGTAATTAATAATTTTAATATCCAACATGTTTATTCTCATTTGAAAATGTACAAGTTCAGTTTCTGTCTTAATAAATTACCTATTTCTTTCTCCTTCCCAGTAGACAAGTACTGTTGTGTATTATTAATATTTTTTAAAACAACGCGAGAGTTTGGTAATGTCGATTTGGAAAAAAAAATTCAACTTATCTAATATTAGTTTGTAATTATAATTAGTTTTGATGTACTTATTGTAGACGCTACCATTTTTAGAATGAAACTTATTTAATAAAATCGATCGAAAAGTCAGTTTTAAGTCGAAATAACAATTAAAAGAACAGAAATACTATCCTAGGTCTTTGCCTAAACTAGACACGATACTTTGTTTTTGAGGTCCACAATTATTAGGCCCGAATTTCTTTTAGAATTCTAGACCGGCATCTTCGTATACTTTTTTCCAGAAGTCGACTGTCTGTCTGTAGTTATCTAGTCCAATGGTGAGCTCATCTCCGATGTCGCAGTATTTTCTTGTCTCTTTATTGTATTCCGGCCACTTCACTCCCAGAGATGTGTCCGGTGTTGGATTACTGGAGAAAAAAAAAGAAGAAAACATGAAACATTCCACAATCGACTCCAGGCTAGGAAAGAACACATATTAATCACTTGGTCAATGAGGCGATCGGATAACAATGCTTAGAGATTACAATAGATCCTGATCACTGTCATCATCATCAAGTTTTATTTCAGCTTTTGTGAGACTATTGTGAGCATGTACGGGTACTGACCTGCGTATTTTATCAAGTTTTCTATTTTTAAGTCAGAAAGGCCACTTATGTCAATAGTCGGTTTGACTATTGATGATCATTCATTAGCTACTACTGTTACCACTTTCTGCCCTATCAATACCCCTGATGTTGGGGCTATCGCAAATCTATTACATAACACCTTCGTTGTTTATCTTGAACGTAGGATCTTCTATCTTTTTTTTTTATTTTTTTTTATTGCCTTTGTAGGCAGACGGGCATACGGCCCACCTGATGGTGAGTGGTTACCGTCGCCCATGGACTTCAGCAATGCCAGGGGCAGAGCCAAGCCGCTGCCTACCGCTAAATAGCGATCTCTAGTTCGTGTAATTTGTAATATTGTTTGTCGGCCATACAATCGCTATCTATGAGTTGCTCGGTCCCATATCCGAACTAGGCGATGAGGCAACGTAATGCCGCCGTCGCCGAAACATGTCTTTATCTACTCTCGGTGCTTTTAGGCCTCTCAAGCACCAGTCACCGTCCTCGTCAAACTCGTCGATCACTACGAAGAGTTCGACGATCGACCTAAGCCATGGACACAACCTCTGAGTTTCTCGAGGGATCTTTTCAGTGGTTCGAGGTTCCGATCCGATGATAGATTCTGCGAAGCACTGCTCTTGATAGGATTAGTCTTAGCAAATTCTCTCAGGTTGAGCCCCTGAGCTCATCAACCCGTCCGCGTGTATGCGGAATATCCTTTTAAACCACCAGTGAATAGGTAAGTAAAACATCGTCATCATTTATTTTTATGAACAGTATCTTCACCTAACTTTTTCATTCTTATTGCTATTGGAGTGTGTTTCGTTTGTACTATTTCCTACCAAGTAAGCACATAATATGCTGTTCTGAAAGTTGAGATTATCCGAGGCTACTGAAACTTCGACTTAAACTCAAGGAAGTATTTTCATTGGAGTATGTATAGTCTCAAGTTAAATTTAATTCGTTGTGTAATCTTTGGTAATCACTTATTAACATAGTGCTTGAAAAAATAAAACAAACATGAAATGCAACCTACCCAAATTTCGCAAAATTGGTAAAAATTGTGCAAGCCAGATTAATTAAACGATATTCCCTGCTCGTTGTCTCAATCTTCAAGTCAAATTTTTTGGCGTCAAACAGATACATCAAATCTTCCAAATGCGAGGCCCCAGTTATCTTGTAATTAGCACCGGCCGCACCATACACATTTCGATTTGAAAACATCGAAAATTTGTACATGAAAACTTTCGTATTAATTAGATCCGACAATTTACCCGCAAATCTGTGAATGGGATATATAAATCCACAGTCGTTAACAAACGTGACAAATTCCCTCATAGATTCTAAATTAACCTTTTTATTGCCGAAATAAAAATGACGTATTCTGTCGGATATTTCTAAGACTTTATCTGGTGTCGCCTTAATTGTTATCAACCTAGGTGCGAACAAATCGATGTACTTATTGTACAAATGCACTAGATGTTTCTCTAAAAGCGTTATTCCTATTATTGCTTCTTCATTTGTGAAACCTAATAGCATATCTACATCATTAATATTTCCATGTTTAAGGACTTCAATTGGTTCACGTGTCAAAAAGTGTTCTTGACCAAAATCTTTTTCGACAACTGGCGTGAAATGATACATTTTGAGCATATTTTTGTGTAGTTCTTCCATTGTTATTATGTTAGGATCTGTATTGACTAATTTCTCTACTGGAACGTTTTGTAGATATTCGAGTAATTCATCTGGATTCTCGGTTTCAATTCCCAAAAGCTGTCCAAGTTTGAACGCTCTTCTTCTTGGTTCGAATGCTATGGACCAATCACAGAATAGGACCCCGCTCATCGAAATCACTCTTTTAAACAAGCCGTTTGACATCGGCGATATGACGTGGAAAGATGTAGACGCCCCACCGGCACTTTCACCAAACACAGTAATGTTATCTGGATCTCCACCAAAACTTGAAATATTCTCTTTAACCCACTTTAAAGCAGCTACTTGGTCTTTCATACCAGCATTTCCTGGCACTTCTTCAGTGTCCAAGCAAAGGAATCCTAATGCGTCAAGTCTGTAATTAATCGTGACTAATACTATTCCGTGGGCTACAAGGAAGTCGGGTCCATAATTGTCAACATTTCCTGAGCCACTCTTGTAACCACCTCCATGGATGAAGAACATGACTGGTAAGAGCGTTTCAGAATTGATTTCGGGCGTGTACACGTTTAAATAAAGACAATCTTCACTTCCCGGAATCAGGATTTCTGTGAAGATGTCCACTTGAGGGCATACAGGTCCATGCTGTGTTGCTTTTTTGACTCCCTCCCAGGGCAGCGCTGGTCGCGGAGCCTGGAAGTAATATTGAACTTTTTTATGTTAATATTTAAATTTTCAAGAATATCAACGTGTAATCATATTATAATATTAGTTCTATTTAAATCAAGTCCGAATTTTTTTTATTTGAACTATGAATTTGCGGTTTTCTCTGCAAATTTATTATTATGTTTACTAAGTTTGTTAAGTCATAGTAGATATTTTTAAAATGCCCTAGTCTCAGTCGACCTCGC